TAACATGTTTACAGTTTATAATAGCCTGTAAATAACATGTTTACAGTGGGTAATAGAATGGTCTTTGGTCTCATTTGGAGCCTTCAAGTCAAACAACATGAATAAAAATAACGGAGTTGTCTTTCTAATAAGCTACAGACAATTACACTAAGATTCACAGAGCCTTCCTGCTTGCACATTTATAACCACGAGAAGAAAAAAACATCTTCACACAGACCAACTTTAAAAAGAAACCCTTTAAAGGGTCGTTTTAAGTCTAGTTAAAGCCTAGTTTTAAGATTAGTTTTAGTTAAAGCCTAGTTTTAAGATTAGTTTTAGTTAAAAGACTCGTTTTAAGGTTAGTTTTAGCTGACTCGGTCGGTCGTACATCTTCTTACGAGGCGGCTAAAATAAAACTATTAACAAAACAGCAGCTAGTTTCAGCTTCACAGCAAATCTCAGGTGTTTTAATCACTATGACTCAAACAGAAACAGATCATTACAGCTCTCACCTCTTCTACGCGTCCTTAAATTACGAAAAATGCGCCGACCTAAACGAAAAGCACCAAATCAAAAAATACTTCCTGTTTGTACGGAAGCCGGCTTAGGTTAAAAATGCCGGCGTTGACTTTTGAGTATTGTTTAATCAAAAATTATGAATGTGTGAATCATACTGACTGATTCCCCCCCATTCATCCGTTTATAAAACCTGTCAGTTGAGGGCTCTGAATTTTATTTTGGTATTATAACCGTTTTACCTTTCTAATATTTATCTTTATTTACACATATTTTTAACAAATAAAATATAATTCAATTCAATTCAATTCAAAAATACTTTATTAATCCCAAAGGGAAATTATTTGTTGTTGTAACTCGTTATCCTCATTTCATTAAAAGATGTTATAGATACTGATGGCTGTAGGCAGGAAGGATCTCTTGTAAAGGTCCATCCCACAGTGGATCCTAAGAAACTGGCTGCAGATGCTGTCTGGTCCGTCCACCCAGACTCGGCTGGACTCTCGGTTCCTCCGGGCTGTTGGACCGCCCCAATGCAGGGCAGAACTCCTCCCAGAGCGATGGCCACTCCTCCCAGCAGTCTGCTGAGCTCCTCGTCGCTGCAGACAGCCAACTGTAGGTGCCGAGGGACGATCCTGTCCTTCTGCTGTCATGAGCCGTGTTTCCTGCTAGTTCCAGGATCTCAGTGGTCAGGCACTCGAGCACAGCCGGCAGGTAGATGGGCATGCATCCACAGAACATCCTTTTCAACTCAGATATGGGGCTGTAGTTGAGATATTATTTGAGCTTTTGAGATGTTAATCAGCTGCTGTTGGTTGTAGAAAACTGCCTTGTTGCCATGGTTACGCATCATAACAAATGTCCAAAACTTAAAAAGTTTCAGTAAAAATCCTTCCAGCTGCACAGCATCTGATACAAGAGGAAACTAATCATCCAAAAAATGTGATTTACATCCAGAAAAAGAGGAATTAAAGTTTCCAAAAGCAAAATCTCAGAATGAAAATAACAGAGCTGCTCCAACATGCAGCCACCTTGAGCGGCGCAATTCTAGAATATAATATAGAAAATATAGAATAATATAATATAGAAGGGATATATAGAAAAATATCTTAATTTTCTTCAAAAACACTAATTTATTTATTCTTTAGGAAGATATCTTGATTTTGTAGTTTTATGGTAGTTTTAATTTTTTGTTACCATTCTGCTAATTCTATTATTTGACCTTTGCAAAAACATGTCAGCAAAGGTCAAAGGAAAAGTTTACAAGACAGTGGTGAAACCAGCTATGTTCAGTTGTATGGTTTGGAGACGGAGACATGGACAAAAAGACAGGAGAAAGAACTGGAAGTGGCAGAAATGTAGATGTTGAGGTTCTCTTTAAGAGTGACATGGATGGATAAGATTAGGAATGAGATCATCAGAGGTACAGCACAGGTTGAACAACTGGGAGATGAAGCTAGTCCCTGCTAATTTCAGTCTGCATTTAGCTACTTTTAGTTTCTAACTACCCTTTTTTTTTAAAATGTAGCCAATCTATTGCTGCTATCAAGTTTTAACTAGCTCTTTTTTAATTTTAGCTTCTAGCATGGCATTTCATGTTTTAATTAACCTTTTGCTAATTTCTAAAAAAAGTTAACTCTGGTCCTCTGGACATTCAAAAAAACAAAAAAAAAAGCAAAACAACAAAAAAATGTAGAAACGTTTCGTCTCTCATCCGCGAGACTTCCTCAGTCTGAGGTGCTGTATTCAGCTCAGTCTCTTAAATAGCACCTTCTTAGAGTGGATCAACCAGTTTTGCTGCTGACAACCAAAACCAGCTGATCACATGCTCAAGAAGGACCATCAGCCTAACAATGGATCATTAGCACACTGATGGCTGTTTACTGTTCACAGAGGGCTGAGTGATACTAGCAATCACAGCATTGTAAGAGGGGGACAGTTGAACACGGAGGCCTCCACCCCTGTTTAACGATGGACGATTTCTTTTCACAATGATGGCCTCCTTTACTCCTCTCTCAAACCATCGTTCCTCTCTGTCCAGGATGTGAACATCTTCATCCCTGAAAGAGTGACCACTGGCCTGGAGATGAGTGTAGACCGCAGAGTCCTGGCCTGATGATGTTGATCTTCTGTGCTGGTCCATCCTTTTGGCCAGTGGCTGTTTAGTTTCCCCGATGTAAGACTGATCACCCTCCTGACACTGAACAGCATACACAACATTACACTGTTTGTGCCGGGGGACTAGATCTTTGGGATGAACCAGTCTTTGCCGTAATGTATTTTGGGGTTTAAAAGCCACTGGGACGTTATGTTTAGAAAATAAACGTCTCAGTTTCTCTGATACTCCCTCAACATATGGAATGACCACTGGTCTGGGTCTGGGTTCCTCCTTTTCACCTCATGGCTGACTGGAGTCCTGTTTGGGTTAATAACTCATCAACACCATCACTATTCCAATAACAACACATTCAGTGTAGGACAACACTCCAGTAGTCAATTACATGTCAGGGAGACAGAAAAGTGGGTGAAGAATTTATCTGACAGACAGCTGCCTGGTTGGGTTCTGGGCTGTGGGTGGGTATTGGGCCTTGGGGGGGGGGGGGGGGGGTGGGGGGGGGGGGGGGGGGGGGGCGGGGTTTTCTGGGGGGTTTTGATCTTTTGATCGGGGTTCCTGGTTGCGATGGCCAGCCCTTTGGCTGGGTGGCTGCCGGGTTCTGGCGGGGGGTCGGCTGTGGTTGTGTGTGTGTGGTCGTTGGTAGTGCGTGGCGGCGGTCGGGGGCGTGGCTTCACTTCAACGGGGTGCTGTCTGGTCGGCCTGATGTGACATTCGCGGTGGGGGGGTGCTGTGGGGGGGTGTGTGGGGGGGGGGTGTATGGGTGGCATGCCGGGGCTTCTCCGGGCCTGTGGTGTGGGGCTTTAGGGATGCATTGGTGCGCTGGGCAGGCCTTCCTCAGCTGCTGCTCCGTTCTGCTCTGGCCCCCGGCCTGGGGCCGGCTTGTGGTCACTGCTGGCGGGTGGGGCGCATGGACGGCCCGACAGAGGTTCTGTCGGGCTGTCTCTGTATGTCTGTTTGTCTCAGGTTGGGTTTTAGGTAGTCCCCTCTCTTGGATCAGTTTTGGCCCCCCATTTGGTGTGTCATGCTCCCCTCTGGTGGTGGGCCCCCCTGCCGCCGGTGCATTGGCGGCTCTCAGCAGCTGGGGCTGGGTGGTGGGGTGTGTGCTGGCCCGCCCTGGTGGCTGCCTGCGGGGGCCTGGGTGCCCTGGCTCTGTCGGGCCTCTGTTGGGGGTGGTATGACCTCGGGACTCGGGGCTTGGTGTCCATGGCCGGATCCACTCTGGAGGGGCGGGTTGCCGGCGGGGCCTGTTGACTCGTCACTGCAGCCTCCTGGGGGCTTTTGCATTGTGGTTGCTGGGGATCGCCCGGGGCTTCCCTTTGCTTCTCTCTCTGGGGGGTGCGGGTGTCCCTG